GGGACCGCGGCGGTGGCATTAGGGGGGCCCCAGGTATCGGTGGTTCCAGGATTACCGGGGACGCTGGAGGCACCGTGAATGCTAGAGACACCTGGAAGCCTGGAGGCACTTGGGGCGTTGGAAGCACCAGGGACGCTGGAGGCACCCGGGAGAGTGGAGGCACCGGGGTTACTGGAGGAACTGGAGGCACTGGAAGCACCCATGTCCTCAGGGGCACCAGGAGTGCTGGGAATACTGGACACACTGGGGACACCAGCATCTCCATGGAGGACTCTGGGAGCACTGGGAACATGCTGAGCACTGGGGGTGTTTGGGGCACTGGGAGCGCTCCAGTCCCCAGGGGCATCAGGAATTCTGTACTCACTGGGGAGACTGGGAGGTTCTCCAGAGGTGCTGGCAAGACTAGGAAAGTCCCCAGAGATACTGGGAACACCAGAGATACTGAACATAATGGGGAGATTGGGAAGGTCCCTAGCAACGTCAGGAACACTGTGGACACTGGATATGCTGGGAACACCAATATCCCCAGGGAGACCAATGGCACTGGGGACGCGATAGACCCTAGGGATGTTGTGGAGTTCCAGACCGCAGCAGTCCCCAGGCCTCCCATACCTCACCACCGTCCCTGCCGCAGCCCCAACACAGCACCGCAGTTCCAGCCCTCCAGCTACCAGGCCACAGTGGAGGAGAACCGGCCAGCAGGCACTCCAGTGACACAGGTGACAGCACAGGACCCTGATGAGGGGGAGGCAGGCCGGCTGCAGTACTCTATGGCTGCACTCTTCGACAGCCGCTCCGATGACCTCTTCGCTGTAGACCCTGTCACTGGTGTCATCAGCACCGCTGCACCGCTGGACCGCGAGAGCAAGAGCACTCATGTGTTCCGTGTGACAGCAGTGGACCACGGGGTACCCCGGCGCAGTGCCATGGCCACACTGACAGTGACAGTGAGCGACACCAACGACCATGACCCCGCCTTCGAGCAACCAGAATACCGGGAGAGTGTGCGAGAGAATCTGGAGGTGGGCTATGAGGTACTGACAGTGCGGGCCACCGATGGCGACGCTGGTCCCAATGCCAACGTCCTCTACCGCCTCCTCAATGCCAGTGATGCCAATGAGGTCTTTGAGATCGATTCCCGTTCAGGCGTCATCCGCACCCGTGGCCTTGTGGACCGGGAAGTAGTGGATGCCTTTGAGCTGTTGGTGGAGGCCACAGACCAGGGCCAGGATCCAGGTCCCCGGAGTGCCACAGCCACTGTCCGCATCGCTGTGGAGGACGACAATGACAATGCGCCACAGTTCAGTGAGCGACGTTATGTGGCACAGGTCCCTGAGGATGTGGTGCCCAATGTGGCGATTTTGCAGGTGATGGCCACTGACCGTGACAAAGGCAGCAATGCACTAGTGCACTACAGCATTGTCAGCGGCAACACCCGTGGGCACTTCTACATCGATGCGCAGACAGGCACGCTGGATGTCGTTACCCCTCTGGACTACGAGGTCACCAAGGAGTTCACCCTGAGGATCCGGGCGCAGGACGGTGGCCGCCCACCTCTCTCCAACATCAGCGGTTTAGTTACCATCCAGGTGTTGGATGTCAATGACAATGCACCCATCTTTGTCAGCACGCCCTTCCAGGCCACCGTGCTGGAGAATGTCCCCATTGGCTACTCCGTCATCCATGTACAAGCCATTGATGCCGATTCAGGTGACAACAGCCGGTTAGTTTACACCCTGCTGGAGACTGGCACCAGCTTCCCCTTTACCATCAACAACAGCACCGGGTGGATTGTGGTGGCCTCTGAGCTGGACCGGGAGGTAGTCGACTTCTACAGTTTCGGGGTGGAGGCGCAGGACCATGGCACCCCCCCAATGGCCTCCACAGCCAGCGTCAGTGTCACCATCCTGGATGTCAATGACAACAGCCCTGAGTTCACGCAGCGGGAGTACAGCGCCCGCCTGAATGAGGATGCTGCAGTGGGCACCAGTGTCCTGACTGTCTCTGCTGTTGACCGTGACGCTTACAGTGTCATCACATACCAGATCTCCAGCGGCAACACCCGCAACCGGTTCTCCATCACTAGTCAGAGCGGTGGTGGGCTCATCTCCCTTGCCCTGCCCCTGGACTACAAGCTGGAGCGGCAGTACCTGCTCACCATTGCTGCCTCTGATGGCACCCGCCAGGACACTGCCCAGGTGGTTGTCAACGTCACTGATGCCAACACCCACCGCCCCGTCTTCCAGAGCTCCCACTACACCATCAACATCAATGAGGATCGGCCAGTGGGCACAACAGTGGTGGTCATCAGTGCCACAGACGAGGACACGGGGGAGAATGCCCGCATCACCTACCTGATGGAGGACAGCATTCCCCAGTTCAGTATTGCTGCTGATACTGGTGCTGTCACCACCCAGATGGAGCTGGACTATGAGGACCAGGTGTCCTACACCTTGGCCATCACAGCGCGGGACAATGGTATTCCGCAGAAATCTGACACAACTTACCTGGAGATCCTGGTGAGTGATGTCAATGACAACGCACCCCAGTTCCTCCGTCATTCCTACCAGGGATCCATCTACGAGGATGTCCCCACTTTCACCAGCGTCCTCCAGGTCTCTGCAACTGACCGTGACTCTGGGCTCAATGGCAGGGTCTTCTACACCTTCCAAGGGGGTGATGATGGTGATGGTGACTTCATCATTGAGTCCACCTCAGGCATTGTCCGCACCTTGCGCCGTCTGGACCGGGAGAATGTGCCACTGTATTTGCTGCAGGCATTTGCCGTGGATAAGGGGGTCCCAGCCCGGCGGACGCCAGTAGAGATCCAGGTGACAGTGTTGGATGTCAATGACAACCCGCCCGTGTTCGAGCAGGATGAGTTTGACATCTTTGTGGAGGAGAACAGCCCCATTGGGCTGGTGGTAGCCCGGATCACCGCCACTGACCCCGACGAGGGCACCAATGCCCAGATCATGTACCAGATCGTGGAGGGCAACATCCCCGAGGTCTTCCAACTGGATATATTCTCTGGAGAGCTCACCGCCCTGGCTGATCTGGACTATGAAACCAAGGCTGAATACATCATGGTGGTCCAGGCAACCTCGGCGCCACTAGTGAGTCGGGCCACCATCCATGTGCGCTTGCGTGACACCAACGACAACAGCCCCCAGCTCAAGAACTTTGAGATCCTCTTCAACAACTACATCACCAACCGCTCTGGCAGTTTCCCTGGGGGCGTCATTGGCCGCATCCCTGCCTATGACCCTGACGTCTCTGACCACCTCACTTATGCTTTCGAGCAGGGCAATGACCTCAGCCTCGTGCTGCTGGACCCACACAGTGGGGACCTGCGCCTCAGCCCGGCCCTGGACAACAACCGCCCACTTGAGGCCGTCATGAGGGTGTCTGTCTCTGGTAAGACCCCCACCCAGAGAGGCACCTTGCAGGGGGAGTGAAGTTTGTGGGTATATCAACCTCTATTTCTGCATGGAGGCGAGGTGTTATGGGGTCTCACTACCCTGTTTTGGCTGTCCCCACCTTCCAGATCAGAAGGGATGATGTGTTGTGGGGTTCCATGACTCCACTGAGGTGTTTTGGAGTTCTGCCACCCCGTCCTGGTTGCCTCCACCTTCCAAATATATCGGAAGGGGGAATAATGGGATGCTATGCCCCCCTCACACCCCAGACATCCAAGCTGGAGGCTGTTGGGGTCCCTAGCACCCCCTTTGCTTTCCCTACCCCTTTGGGCTGTCGTGCTGTCCAGAGGTGGTCCTGGCACTTCTCTATCTGTCACTGAGCAGGGTGGGGCAGGACCCAGTGCACGTATTGGGAGAGCAGAGGCTGGTGTAAGCCAGCAGGGTCCTGGTACCCTTGGGGGCTTATTATGAGGGTGTGATGGGTGAATCTGGGAAGGCTCAGGGTGCAGTGCAATATTGGGGGAGTCCTGGCACTGCCAAATTTGTGTTTCCAGGAGACTCCACTTGAATGAATTCAGTGCAGGAGACACAAGGCCTGGTGTGTGTATTCGGGGGAGCAACCTGGCCTCCACTGAGATCTCCCCAAACCCAGTGCGGGGGGGGGATCATCACAAGATAAGGGGGATTGTGCCATCAATTGTCATCACCATTTGGGTGGTGGGGTGTCCAGGAGGTGTTTCTGGGGGATGGGAGTCACCCCAAGGTGGATGATCACCTCCTTGGTCACCCCCAGGTCAGGGGAAAACTGGGTCACAGGCCATGCCTGATGTCCATTGTCCCCATCACCCCACAGCTTCCCCTGGCAGGGGTCCCTGCTCTGGCCACACAAAGCAGGGGGCCCAGGGCACAAAGGGTGGGGGCAGGGAGTCCCCCTTGTACCCCCGCCAGCGCAGGGGCAGGCGGGAGGGAAACAAAAGGTGCAGCCATAGCTGGGCCCTCGCCGCCGCAGCCATGGTAACCTTCCCCCCCCCCCACCAGCCACTGGCTACCAGTCACAGGCCACGGGCCACTGGGCAGCCCTGGCCCCTGCCACCCCCTGCAGCACTTCCTTCTGCCGGCTTGGCCCCCCACCTGTCCCCATGTTCCCTTCATCCATCTGTCTGCCTGCTCCCCATCTGTCCTGCATCCCACTGCCATCAGCCAGGGGGAGGACAAAGGAGAGGAGAAAGGTGGGTGCCCCAGTGCTTAGCAGAGATTTTGCTGCCCCAGCCCCACAACCAACACCAACCCCACAATCAGCACCATCCCCTTAACCAGCACCATCCCCATACCAGCCCCAGCCTCAGAAACAGCTCTAACCCCAGAAACCAGCACCAACCCCATAACCAGTGCTGACTCCATAACCAGCCTCAGCCTCATAGACAGAACCAGCCCCATAACCAGTCCCAACCCCATAACCTACCACCAACCCCATTTAGATGCCCCACCCCACAGTGTCCAGGCAGGATGGGCACCCCATGACCCACACTGTCGCCATTCCATGGTCGCCAAGTGGAATGGGCATCCACCACCAGCACCAGCCCCATAACCAGCGCTGTCCCCATTCAGTAGTGGCCAGGTGGGACAGGAGCCTTATAACCAGTTCCAGCCCCATTGCCAACACCATCCCCATCCTGCTGTCCCTACCCTACGTAGGTGGCATGGGCACTCCAAAAACAGTACCAGCCCCATAACCAGCACCAACCCTATAACCATCACTTTCCATACCTTGGTGGCTGAGTAGGAAAGGTCCCCCATAGCCTGCACTGTCTCCACCTGACTGTATCAATTCCATGCTGGTCAAGCAGGATGGGCACCTCATAGCCATTATTGTCCGCATTCCACAGTGGCTACATGGGCCAGGTGTTTCATGGCCAGTGCTGTGCCCATTCTATGGTGGCCAAGCGGGTCAAGCCCCCATAGCACCATCTCCGTCCAACAGCAGCTGATTTGGTTGGTTGCCCCATATCTAGCACGATTCCTAGTGTTGTCCATTGTCCAGAGCACGTGTCTCGCACCATCCTTTCCCAGAGTTGTCCATTGCTGTCACTAACTCCCTCCTGTGTCCCCCCTTTGTCTCCAGATGGCGTTTACAGTGCAACAGCGCAGTGCACGCTGCGGGTGACGGTGATCACAGATGAGATGCTCAGCAACAGCATCACCCTGCGTTTGGCCGACATGTCCCAGGAGCGTTTCTTGTCCCCCCTACTCAGCCGCTTCCTGGAGGGAGTGGCCGCTGTCCTGGGCACCCCCCGCCACCGCGTCGTCCTCTTCAACATCCAGGCGGACACAGACGTGGGGCCGGCGCGGATCCTCAATGTCAGCCTCTCGGCGCTGCTGCCGGCGGCGGTGCCGGGCGCATCGCGGTTCTTCTCGTCGGAGGAGCTGCAGGAGCGGCTGTACCTGAACCGATCGCTCCTGGCAGCTACCACGGCCCAGCGAGTCCTGCCCTTTGATGACAACGTGTGTCTGCGCGAGCCCTGCGAGAACTACATGCGCTGCGTGTCTGTCCTGCAGTTCGACAGCTCCGCGCCCTTCCTCGCCTCCGACACCATCCTTTTTCGCCCCATCCACCCCGTCACGGGCCTGCGCTGCCGCTGCCCGCCTGGCTTCACCGGCGACTACTGCGAGACCGAGATCGACCTCTGCTACTCCAGCCCCTGCGGCAACAACGGGCGGTGCCGGAGCCGTGAGAGTGGATACACTTGCGAGTGCCACGAAGACTTCACTGGTTAGAGTCACTGGGCAGCCCTTCCTCGTGGTGTCCATCCTCATATTTCCTCATCCGACTCCTCTTCATCCCTCCCTCCCTCCTTCCCTCCCTCTGCCGGTAGACTGGTGGCACTGGGGCCATACCCCCTGCGCCCACCCTGGAGCTCCAGCCACCACGGGATCCCTGGTGGAGGGTGCCAGCCAGGTGGCCTTAGGGCATGTGAGATGAGGGGGTGTCTTTGGGTTTCCATGGTAATGGGAGCTGGTTGCCGTGGTAATAGAGCTGGGGATAAAGATACTGGGGGGCAGGGAGGGAGAGGGGATCTCCACCCTCCTACTTAGGGTGCTTGGTGTCACATTGGGGAGCCCTGTGAGTGCCTGGGGGGAGAACTCGGGGGTTACTGGGGGGTGGCGAGGAGAGAGGACCCCCGCTCCCCATTTTTGGGATGCTGGTGCCATTGGGGTATCACCCAGGGGAGCCCTGCAACCTGAGCACCTGAGGGGGACCACTCTGGGTTTAATAGGGAGGTGTGGGGGGAAGATGGGACTCCTTACCCCAGTTTTGGGGTTCTGGATGTCACACAGGGGAGCACTGTGAGCTGAGTGCCCGAGGGGGCCGCTGCACCCCAGGGGTCTGCCGGAATGGGGGCACCTGCCTGAACCTGCTGGTGGGGGGATTCCGGTGTCAGTGCCCCCCCGGGCACTATGAGAAGCCCTTCTGCACCATGAGCACCCGCAGCTTCCCCCCGCACTCCTTCCTCACCTTTCGTGGTCTCCGCCAGCGCTTCCACTTCACCCTGGGCCTCACGTGAGCCTGGGGGAATCTGGGGAGGTGGAGGGTGATGTGTGCCCCTATGGGTGTCACATGGAGTGTGGGGTAGATGGTGATGTTTGTCCTGTTGGCATGAGATGAGGTGATGGGGTGTGAGGTGATGGGTGTCTTGTGGACACTGCACGGGTGCCCTCATTGGCATAATTTTGGATGTGGGATGGTGGGTGTCACAAGGACATCAGATGGGGTGGGGATACCTCATTGGCATCATGTGGGATGGGTGGTGATCAGTACCCCATGTGCATCATATGGGCTGTGGGGTGATTGTGTGTGGGGTGATGGGCACCCTGAGGGCACAGGGTAGGAGCGAAGGGTGTGTGGGTGACCCCTTGGCGTGGAGGGCAGTGGGGTGGGGGACACCTTGTGAGGGCAGGGGCTGATGCATATGAGCATCTCACAGCGGGTACAAGGTCATGGAGTAGGGCATGAGGGGTGTCCCTTTGGGCACGGCAGGGTCAGGGGGTGTTGGGGAGTGCCAGGGAGGCATGTGGGATTGCAGGGTATTGGGGCCTGGCACTGCCCTTGTGTCCCCCAGGTTTGCCACACAGGAGCGGGATGGGCTCTTGCTGTATAATGGGCGCTTCAACGAGCGGCATGACTTCGTGGCACTGGAGATTGTGGACGAGCAGCTGCAGCTCACCTTCTCAGCAGGTACGTGCTGCCCCTGCCACGCCCTGGCCCTGTACCCTGACACCCTTGTGGGCCCTGTATCCTTCACTGGATCCCTCACTTCATCCCAGAGATCTCATCTTGGCACTGCCTGGCACTGCATCCTGGGCATCATATTCCTGGCACTGCATCTCTCATTGCATTCCTCACTGCATTCCTCACTGCATCCCTGGCCTGCCATTCTTGGTGCTGCCCAACACTGCATCTCCAGCATCCCATGCCCGACACTGCCTCCCTGGCACTACATCCTGGACATTCCCTTGCTAGCTGCAACCCCTGCATCATGTCCCCAACACTGCATCCCTGGCACTGCATCCTGGACATGCCATTCCTGGCACCACCACCCCTCTTTGCCTCTGGCTGTGTTTCCCTGACACTGTGCCCACAGGTGAGACCACCACCACGGTGTCACCCTTCGTGCCAGGAGGAGTCAGCGATGGGCAGTGGCACCGGGTGCAGCTGCACTACTACAACAAGGTGGGGGAATGGGGGTCTTGGGGGGCGCAGTGTGGGGGGAGTGTTTGGGGCAGACAGAGGAAAGGAAGATGGAGGGGAAGGGTGGGGGAATGCAGAGATGGGGTGGGTCAGGTAGGGGATTTGCAGCACCTAAAGGACCCCTAAGGGATGTGCCCACCCATGGGGGTCCCCAGGGGTGGAGATGGGAGACGGAGGAAGAGAAAGGAGTGGAGGGCAAGAGGGTGTTGGAGGGATGAGAATAGAGAGGAAATTTGGGAAACTCCAAGGGACTGTCAAGAGATGCCCCCATCCATGAGGATCCCAAGGACCCTCATCCACTTCCTCACCCATTGGTCCCCTGGGGAATCCCACGTCCTTTCCTCACCTGTAGGGACCCCTGAGGAATTGGAATGGGGGGATGGAGGAAGGGGAAGAGGAGGTCAAAGGGATGGAGGCTTGGGGGGATGAAGGGGACCATTGAGGGGTTTAAGGGGGGCTGAAGGGATGGAGGGGAGTGTTGGGGGATCTGAAGGGTGGGGGGCTTGTGGGCTGGAGGGACATAGGAGCGCAGTAAGGGTTGAGGGGTCAGAGGGCAGTGGGAGGATGAGGAGCAGGACAGAGGCTGCAGGATGGGGGTCCTGGGCCCCCCTGCCTAATATGGGGCCCCCCAGCCGGTTGTGGGGCGCTCGGGGGTCCCACAGGGCCCCTCAGAGCAGAAGGTGGCTGTTGTGACTGTGGACGACTGCGACACAGCCATGGCCCTGCGCTTCGGGCCCCGCCTCGGCAACTACTCCTGTGCTGCCCAGGGCACCCAGACTGGCAGCAAGAAGTGAGAGGGGCATGGGGATCCCATGGGTGGGGTCCCTTGGGGTACCCATAGAGGGGTCCCTTGTAGGTGAACGGTCCCTAAGGGTGTGGTACCTTTGAAGTCTTCACTGGTGAAAGGCCCCTTGGGGGTTACAGATCCCTATGGATGGGGGAGTCACTGGAGGTCCCCATGGGTTTGGGGATTGTCTTGGGGTCCCCATGGCACTGGGGGGAAGTGGGGATTCCCTTGGGAGTCTTTGGGTGGTCCCTCAGGTTCCCATAGGTTTTGGGGTGAGTGAGTGTTCTTTGGGGTCCCCTTGTGACTCCCATGGGATGAGGGGTGGCTGGGTGTCCCTTGATGTTCCAACAGGGTCCCCGTGGGTTGTGGGGTCCCTCGATGGTTTCTTGAGTCCCTGAGGTGATGGTGTGCTCTACAGGTCGCTGGACCTGACGGGGCCACTGCTGCTGGGGGGGGTCCCAACACTGCCCGAGAGTTTCCCAATCCGCAGCCGGCACTTTGTGGGGTGCATGCGGCACCTCCACATTGACCAGCGCCCCGTGGACATGGCAGCCTTCATTGCCAACAACGGCACCCTGCCCGGTGGGCTCCGGGATCGGAACACTGGCGAATGGCTGGGAGGGGCTGTGCTGCTTCCAGCAGGGCCAGATGGAGTGGGGGGTTAAGGGGTAGCTGAGAAGTGTGGCTGTGTCCCCTGAATGATGGGAGGGGGTTCCAGGGCTGGAGGGATGGATGAGGGCCCAGGGGTGTGGGGGATGCTGTGCTCCCTGGGTGTGGAATGGGAGTTTAGGGAGTGCAGGTGTGGGTTGAGGGGTACCAGGACCATGGTGCTGTGGGGAGGAACACCAGGACCTGGGTGTGGGGAGGAGGTACCAGAGCAATGGGGCTGGATGGGGGGTCCAAGGGACACAGGGCAGAGCTGTGGGGAGGGGGTGAGGGGATGTCAGCCCCATGGGGCTGAAGAGAGGTCCAGGGAATGGGCTGGGGCTCCCCAGGGGGTGGGATGGGAAGTCAGGGGGTGCAGGTTTGAGTTCAGGGTTGCCAGGGCCACAGGGTGCGGGGTATAGAGTAGGAGTTGTTGGGGCTTGAGGGTTGGCTGGGGGCCCAGGTCTGGGCAGTGCTTGGGCATCTCTGTGTCCCGTGGGTGTGGGGAGGGGGTGCCAGGCTCATGGGGCTGGATGGGGGTCCAGAGACACAGTGGTAGAGCATTCTGTGTCTCCTGGTTTTGGGGTGGGGGGTGAGTGGCTGCCAAGGCCATCAAGCTGGAGTGGGTGGCACAGACAAGGCTGTGTCCCCTGGGGGTGGGGTGAGGAGGTGCCAGGACTGGGGAGCTGGATGGGGCTGTATCCCCTTAGGGGTTGGGGATGTGGGGTGGGGGCTCAGGGGGTACTAGGACCATGGGGTTGGATGAGGGTTCAAGGATGTGGGGATGTCTGTGCCCCATGGGACTGGGGGTTCCAAGTCAAGTGTGAATGTGACCCCCGTGCCCCCTCACAGGTTGTCCTCCCAAGAAGACCCTGTGTGACACCAACACATGCCACAACGGTGGCACCTGCGTGCATGAATGGGGGGGGTTCAGCTGCCGCTGCCCACTGGGCTTTGGGGGAAAAACCTGCCAGGAGGGTACTGGGGGGCCTGGGGGGACATTGTGGTGGGGTTTTGTGGCATCCATAGGCATGTTTTTGGGCCATGGGGGGCATGGGAAGGGTCTCTGGGTAGGTGTGAGGGGTGTGGGAAGGGGGTGAGGAGCATCCCTGCTTGTTTTGGGTTCATCAGGGGGTATGGGGGATCTGTGGGTGGGTGCAGGAGATCTGTGGGAGGGTGTGTTGGCATCTGGGGGATGTGCATGGGGTCCCCAGGTGGGTGCTGGGGATCTGAGATTGGGTATGTGAGAGGC